AAGCAGGAAATGCTGATTCTAAATCAAGAAATAGATTAACTGCACTCACTGTACTGAATGAGACTCAGACTTACCACTAACATCAATTATGGTAAAAGTAGTGCCACAACTCAACTTCCAGTTGTAATCATTGAAAAACACAGGAAATAGATTCACCTCAGTGAGTTGATAATAACTGCTATGTTCAGTGGTCTCCCTTCACTGTCAGAAACTCTAAAATGTATAACTCTGCTTTCAGACTGAGCGAAACTCTAAGTGAAAGAGGACGTAGCTGGAATCTGGGGTTAAAGGTAGGCTGATGCATTTTGTATGTGGTTGAACCAATGACCTACTGTTCAGCTCAGGCTGAAGCCAGGAGCAAGCACACACACAGAGACAGAGAGAAAGGAGGGAGTTTAGTTTTAAACTGGAATTTTGTTTCCAGATTTCAGTCACGTTCAGCAGCAGGGCAACACATCTGCTGATATTTCTCCTATTTTCAGCAAATCCCATAAAAAGATGCAACTTCATACCGATAAATGAACGATGCTGTAGATTATTTTCCTCTGAGCCACAGAGCTCCACTGTTGTCCAGAAACTATTAAAAACACATCACAGTGAGTCACAGTGTTGCACTGGGTGACATTCCTTCATTATCATGAACACGCTTCCACTGCTCCAAATACTCACTAGAGCATGAAATGAAGATAAATTCGCCACTAAAAATAGTCCCCAACAAATGCATAGTGTTCTCCTGTTAGAGCAATGTTTGTTAATAACTGCAGTGGCCAGTGGATTTAGGAAATGACCAAGCCTTCTTTTTAAAGATTCACATCTTCAGTGGGAAGTAGTGGCCTTGAAACTGACAGCCACAGACAGGGAAGGGAAATCGTACCTTTCACCCATATCTCACCCTCCTATTGTGCTACTTCAATATGTCACTGGTGTAACAACACAATAAAAGCACCAGTGGTGTACTCAGATCATTCAGTCACACCATGTGTTGCAGTTTATTAACTACCTGTGAGTGTGTGTGTGTGCAGTGGATAGGCCAGGGGGCTGATGGGAAAAGACTTGATCAATTACAGAGATAAAGCAGCAGATGAAGAGAAAGACTTGATGACTCTTAAACTCTCTCTCTCTCCTCTGTACCACCGCTCCATCTCATTTTCTCCACTCTGCTTCATTGTTTCATTTCAGTTTCATTGTTTGGTCTCAAAAGATTTTCTTTCTCCTCCCCTCACCACATCTACCTCCTCACCCATGTCTGTCCCTGTCCTCCACTTTTACAGCCTCTTTTTTATTCTCCTGTCATGCTTCATATTTCCTCATCCTCCTTTCATCCATATGTCTTCTTCCTGAAGCGTCCCTCCCTCTCTTCTCGTTGCTAAGGTGACACCTCATGCTAATCTACCTTTTCCTTCCTTTTATCACACCTCTCCTCTCCTTGTTTCAGTTCCTCTCCTCCTCTCCTCACTTATTCTCTTTTTCTCCATCTGTCTTCTCCTTAATTCATCTTATTTCTTTCTCTCCCTTCCTTTCCTCTTCTGTGCTCCCCATCTGGCCCTACTGAAGAATCCCTTTCCTCCCGTTGCTGTGGCGACGCCTCTTCCTTTCCTATTGTCATTGAGTCATATGAATTTTTAACAAGTCTCGAAGTCCGGCTTCCCTTCATGATCTCCTGTCGTTTATCTCTCCCCTTGTCCTCCCCCACACTCCCCTCCCTCCTTTCCTTCCCTCATCCCCACTCCATCTCTTTCTACAAACTCCTCAAACCGCACTGTCCTTGTTTATCCCCCATTTACCAATTCCCCACCATCATCTCCTTCTCCCTTCCTTTTCTTTTTCATTCTACACTATTCTTTCCTCATCTTTGTCTCTCTTCTTCCTCCTTCAGCACCTCGTCTTCATTTGTCATTCTTCTTTCTAGCATTCTTTCCTCCCCCCCTCTTTACCTCTTTATTTTCCTCTCTCTCATTCCATTGGACACTTTGTATTTCCTCCTGCATTTCTTCTTTATCTTTCCTCTTCTTCCTATTATTCTTCAACCAAGTCTTATACCAAAATGTTTAATAGCTACTATACATTGATCTGCAATGCAGTCTCACAATAACACCTCCATAATTGTGACACTGCAGTGTTTTCAGGATCAAAAATTGTGACATGGCAATGTCTTTCTGGCAGCAAAAAGGAAAGAAAATGGTTAGGTTTAGGGAGGGAAACCATGTGGTTAAGGTTAGGGAAA